GTCAGAGCCCCGCGGCCGCCCTCCCGGTCCCGGCCCGACCGAGACCCCGACTGAGCGCGGCGGTTTCTTCGCCGGCCATCCCCCGGGCCGAGGCGGCAGCAGCGAACCCAGCCCCGCCTCCGAGAACTACAACTCCCAGCAGGCCCGCCTGAACCTCCGGCCCCGGCCTCAAAGACTTCGACTCCCGGCATGCACCACTTCCCCACCCCGTGTATAAGCCAGCCAAGCCACACGCAAAAGGACCCAGCATGCAGAGCGACTGAAGGGTTTTCTTAGAGAAACTACACTCCCCAGGATGCAACGCGGCAAGAGCCGGCGCCTGAGAGGATTGCCTTCCTCTTCTTGCCAGAGTGTGGTTTGCCTAGAGAGGCTCATCGAGTGGGGAAGGGGGCGAAGCGGAAACGCCTTGGGGGAATTTCCGGGGAAATCTGGCTGTCATGGCAACTGCTTTGACTTCAGTAAATGGGGGAAGCCTCTACACACGGCATATAAACTCAGAATTTTAATCCCATGAGAGTCCCTGTAATCAGAAGAGCTAGATTGCTCAGTGGTTTAGAGATCTGGTGATAAAACCAGCGGTTGGGAGTTCAAATCCTGGTCACCACCACCAACCACCCCGTGCATCCCAGGAGAGCCAGCCTGTGGGGCCTTTTGCAACCTGCACAGTAGTCCCAGGGCAACCGCCAAAAAAGGGAAGGGACATCCAGTCCAATAGAGTATTGGGAGAATGAGAACAGAAAAAAATAAAATATTTATCTAGATGTCCAGGACAACCCAGATCCTGTGGTTGCTGACCTTGAGCCAGACATCCTGGAGAGTGAAGTCAACTGGGCTTTAGAAAGCATGGCTAACAACAAGGCCAGTGGAGGTGATGTCATTTCAGTTGAGCTATTTAAAATCTTAAAAGATGATGCTGTTAAGGTGCTACACTCATACGCCAGCAAGTTTGGAAAACTCAGTGGTGGCCAGAGGATTGGAACAGATCGGTCTACATCCCAATCCCAAAGAAGGAGAGTGCCAAAGAATGCTACAACTAGCGTACAATTGCACTCATTTCACACGCTAGCAAGGCTATGCTCAAAATCCTCCAAGGTAGGCTTCAGCAGTTTGTGGACCAAGAACTCCCAGAAGTACAAGCTGGATTCCGAAGGGGCAGAGGAACTCGAGACCAAATTGCTAACATGCGCTGGATTATGGAGAAAGCCAGAGAGTTCCAGAAAAACATCTACTTCTGCTTCATTGACTATGCAAAAGCCTTTGACTGTGTGGACCACAACAAACTATAGCAAGTCCTCAAAGAAATGGGAGTTCCTGACCACCTTATCTATCTCCTGAGAAACCTATATATAACTTGTCTCTTGATAACCTTTCCCTTGCATCTGGCCTTTGGAGATCCCTTCCTTCTAAGCCTGGAGATTATATACCTCCCCATCACGGATTGTAACTGGCAAGTTTCCACAGCTTTATAGTGCCAGTCTGTGAATTCTGCAGTGGTTGAGGGACTGTATAAACAGTTTACTTCGGAGGAGAGGGGTTGTTCAGATGGATCTAAGATGTAGTTGAGGACCTAACTCACTCGTTACTTGTTTGCCCAGTTTATAAGAACCCAAGAGTAACTCTGTTCAAAGAGTTAGATCTTGCATTCAATAGATCTGGGACATACCTGATACACTTTTTACTGGGGTATAGAGTAATGTATATTTCCCAAAAGGGTGCCTGTTTTTCATTTAGAGCAACCTTGGGCCCCCAGATGTTCCTGCACTACATCTCCCAGAAATCCAGGCCAGCACAGCAAACGGTGAAGGCTTCTGGGAGTTGTTGTTCAAGAATATCTGGGGAACCACGGTTGGCAAACACAGGGTGACAGTTTTAAGAAGGAGGTTTTGTAGTGATGGTGAACTGGTTCTATTAATTAATTAATTAATTTTGAAAGTTGAACCAATTGTGGTTGCTAGAATGTTAGTTTTGGCAGACTTTTAGCTGAGCAATGTACTGGATTATTTTATATTGTTTTAGCTTCTTTTGTAATGGCTACAGCTACACAAAGAAGCTTGCTGGGCTTACTTGCATGGGCAGGAAAGGCTGGATATTTGAGCAAGAATGCCGAGGACACAACTAAAGCAATTGCAGAAAAAGAGGAGGAAATGTGTTTGAAACAACACATATCCGCCTTGCGGTTTCGTTTATCGCCAGCTTTCATTCCTCCTCCTCCTCTTCCTCTAGCGTTTGTTTGGGAGCTGAAGAGCAGAAAAATCAAATAGAAACGAAAAGGGACGCAGGTGAAGGAAAGAGGTGGGCCCTCGTACAAAGCGGTTTGTGCCTTTTCTTGTGAGCTGGGAAACAGCAGCTCAAAAAGTGGCTGAAAGGACCTGAAAGGGGAACTTGGCAATATGCTGAACTGGGAATCAGAATTTAAGAAGAAAATAGCCGAATACAAACCATGGGACAAGTGGACGTTGACCAAAGACCTCGAAAACAGCCAGGTGCCGCATGGATGGCATTGCTACGAGCAGAGAAACCTGTTTGCCAGGTGAGGTGCAGCAGAAAGTCAAGGTGCGTACAGAGGAGTAGACAGAGTCATGGACCAGGATTCAGAGACCTGTGTTCAAATCCCTGCTCAGACACCGAAACCCATGTTTTCAGCATCCGCGGTGGGGAGCTTGTCACCAATGACCACAGATACAGTGGACCCTACTGTATGACCAACCAAGGGGACTGGATAGCACATAACGAGACCGAGGAAGGGCCAGCTGTGAGTCTGAGCTTACCCTGATGACTCTACTAACTAATTCTGGTCCAAAATATTTTTGCTGCTTGAAGTAGAAGCCAAATGATGTTTTCCTTCCAGGCACGACTTTTAAAACTTCTTGCCATACCAGTTGAGATGTCATCTCCAACTCTAAGGCTCAGATTTTATACCAATGTTAGCAGCTCTACTGGTAACTCCCTTTCAGGTGCAGCTCAAAGTCCTTCCTGCACAAAGTCCTTCCTGCCTGGTGAGGGGGGGGGTCATCATCTCTTACAGACTGCTTGTGCCCATTTTGAATTCTCAGGGACCCACGAATAATCGATCTTCTTTTCTTCCATCAGGTTTAAGTGTTCAAGTTGTTCCCATTCCTGGAAATCAGCGCAGGCGACCATTGTCTTTCACGTGCATCTGGACTGTTCTTCAGGCCAGGTGAAAATGCGTGTGTTTGGACAGAAGTGTAATCGTTGTGCGAGTCCCAAGTATGAGGAACCTTCTTTCCAGGACGACACCGTCGTGTTTGTCCTTCATAACCTCGTCCATAAAATCCTCCAAAATTGTTACCGAGAATCCAGAGTCCTCCTGCCTTTGCCTCCTCCGGTTTCAGAAGACCTTCTGGAAGGCCCCCATAAAAGTGAGAACTGTGAGGCGTGTAAACATGGGTTTTGCCTCCGGGGAGGAACGCCCCCTTTCTTGGCTCATTCTTTCCAGTGGGAGAAAAGCGTGGGGGAACCCTCTTCCCTTACTTGTCCTATCAAGCGGGGGCCCAACCGGGAGAGTTTCGGGGAAGTCGCGTGTTGTTTCATTCTGGTGTCCATGGTGATGTTTCTCCTGCTTCTTTCTATTAGTAGGAAGTAGGGAACCATACGTTCAACGAACTCTTACCTTCTGATCATTGAAAAGTAACTGGTTTCGATTATTCCGCTCAAAGGTCCCCCAGCCACCCCGGCCAGTCAAAGAGTGGGTGACTGTCGTTCAAAAGAGTAACATTTCAAAATTCCTCTCCATCTTCATCGTCACAAGGTGGGCCGTAGATGTTTCTTGGGACTCGGGTTTACTTGCCTTGGGGCTCAGCCTTGGAAGAAATGTGGCATGGAAACAAAATAAATAACTAAATAATAAAAAGTGTTTTGATTCCACTATCCATACTGATTTTATGTTACTGTTGATTTGTTGATTCTTGGAAGGATTGTAATTTTTAATTTTAAATATATATATTTTTGCTTCCATTTAAATTTTTGTATAAGATGGAGGGAGGGCATCGCATCGATACAAAGAATAAAAAAAGAATTAAAGACATAATCCACAGAGTGATCGCCCAACAGCTGGAAAGTTCAGCATGCTTTTTGCTTTGATAGTGCAGAGATAAGGCAAAGTGTGCTGCTTATATACCAACCCAGAAACCACTTTCTGAGCAGTTTACAGTTTAACTGGACAAGAACCCATGAGTGGAAACCCATCAGAGGGAGATCCAACCTGGAAACAAGGAGGAATTTTGTGACGGTGAGAAGCATGAAGCAGTGGAACGGCTTGCCTCCCGATGGGGTGGGTGCCCCATCGCTGGAGATTTTCAGGAAAAGATTGGACAGCCATCCATCTGGGAGGCTATGAGGTCCGGGATGGTGTGAGGTCTCCTGCCTTGGGCAGGGGCTCAGACTAGAAGACATATTTAAATAAAATGGACTATAATTGGCATAATGGAAGGGCACTCTTTGTAACCTCTTCTGCTTTTTTAAAAACACTGTCAAAAACATTTTGTCAATCTTCTCATGATTACTGCTATTGCTCTTATCACCATTATTAATCAGAATCACTACAGATTTGTATGCTTTGCTACACTTTTTTATTTTGTATTTTTACCTTGATGAACCCCCCAGACTTTGGCTACTGGATGCTACAGAAATGAAATAATCCTCTAAAAAAATCTCTCCTTCTCTCTCTCTTTTAAACGATTTTGAAACATGATGTATTCTAGAAAGCTCTGAAAGTTTGAAAGGCAGTCCATAAATAAAACAAGGTAAATGTAAAGGTTCCCTGTGATATTTAGTCCAGTCGTGTCCGGCTCAAGGGCGCGGTGCTCATCCCCGTTTCCAAGCTGTAGAGCCAGCGTTTTTGTCCGTAGACAGTTTCTGTGGTCACGTGGCCAGCAAGACTAGATACGGAATGCCATGACCTTCCCACCGTGGTGGTACCTTATTTATCGACTCGCATTTTTACATGTTTTCGAATGGCTAGGTTGGCAGGCAGGAGCTGAGCAACGCTCTGTGACGTGGATTCGATCTTATGACGGCCGGTCTTCTAACTTTGCAGCACAGAGGCTTCTGCGGTTTAACCCGCAGCACCACCACATCCCAAATAAATAAAATAAAATAAATTGCAAAAGAGCAGCATATTTGTTGATACTAGGGAAACTGTGGGGTTGTCATGTGTGATTGTGTTCTGGAGGGATGCTAGAAGTTCAAGGAGTGGTTTAACACAGCTACCCCCTCCTGAAAAGAGATTTAAAACCCAATCTCCTGTGTCGTTGTCTGAAGTTCCTTCTGCTACACTGGCTCCTACTTCTGAAATACTGTACTACATGGGAGTGAGGTGTGCAGGTTAAAGAAGCAACCCCCTGCACCCCATCTATACACATTTTTAGGCAACTGAGTTTTTGTTTTTCATATACAGATGGAGAACAACACAACATAGAAACACAACAGTTCAATAGAAATTAGTGGGTCAAACGACACAATATGCTTAGGGAATCTTCTTTCTACAGAAGTTCCTCCCCCAAGTGGTGGAAGACACTTCTTTGCCAGGAAAATGAGATGCACGAATGCAAAGTTGGGTTCAAATTACAAGAAAAGAGATTTTTTTGCTGAGACATTAGGAAGAATGTCTTGACAGTAAGTGCTGTTTGAGAGTGGCCTGGACGGCCCCAGAGGGAGGTGGCAGACTCTCTTTCACGGGACATTTGCTGTTAGGGACATTAGATTTGTCACACTCAAGAATGAGCCCAATGAAATAAAAACAAACCTCAAATTCCCAAAGTTTGTGGATGTTTCTTTTGGGTTCCTCTCAGCATTGTCGTCTCTAGAAAAGACAACAATGCTGAGAAAAGTTGGAGGAACAGGAGAAGAGGAAGACCAAATATGAGATGAATTGACTCCCTAAAGGAAGCCACAGGATTGAGTTTGCAAGAGCTGAGCAAGGTGGTTGAGGACAGGGCCTTTTGGAGGTGGCTCCTTCATAGGGTTGCCATCACTCAGGGTTGGCTTGATGGCTTGTAACAGCAAGAGTATCACGTCATCATCTCTGTCCGTCCATTCTTCCTTGGTAAAAATATGTTAAATAAATAAGCAAATAAAACAAACTCTTATTACAGAAGTGGTTGGACACAGTTCATCAAGACTGACACATCTTGTATTGTTTCTCTTGAAAACTCTTTTCAGTTTCGTTTCTGAATTTTTGGGCTTGGCTATTTAGAAGAAGAAGAAGCGCAGAAAATAGAGGAAGTACTTCACAAAGCGGTCGGTTTCTTTCTTCTGTTTAAGACAAGGCAACCAGAAGACTGGAAAAGGAGTGAAATAAGCTTTTATGCCTATCTTTTCAACGTACGGTGCTGCTGGCTTCTGAAAGACATATTTTTTATTAAGCAGATCTGATGCCAAAAGAGAGAGGGAGAAAATGAATATGAAGAGATCGTTGCAAGAACATGCTGTTGCAAGGTTGATTGTATTTGATTTTTATGGCTGTATGGTTTATTTCACACACCAACTCCAGATTTTTCTTATCTTTTATGCAAATTGTAATCTGCCTTGAGCACCACTTAGTAGTGGAAAGCTGGGCTAAAATATATATGTAATAACAATACAAACAGATTGCTTACAGATTATCTTGCAGGTCATAATTAGAGAGGGGCATCTGGACGTTTCTCGTTAGGTTGAAACGTTTCAACCTAAAAAGAAAGAAGGGGCATGAATTAAAAAACGAATCACCAAAAATTGCTAATTTGTCAGTTCATATTCATGCGAATCAATGCCCGCAACGAAAATGAATCAATGAATTTTTAATGATATTTGATTTGCCAGTTTGGCCATATAACAGCCCACAATGCACCTAGAATCACCAAAATGACCGGGGTGCTTCCTCTGACTCTTCTCTACACCCCCCCTCAGATTTGATGAAGATATGAGTTTCAGATGTTCAAGTTACACACCCACAAAGAGCCCCTCCCAGGAAAGTTGCCCCGAGGCACGTAGAGAGACCAAAAATCACAGAAAAGCTTCCCCTGACTGTCCTCTACAATCTCTCCAAGTTTGGTGAAGACAGCCAGATACTAAAGGGCAGCATAGTTGCATTGGAAGGGGCCCATAAGGCCTCTGGGTCCAACCCTTTGTGCAATGGAGGAATCCCAATCAAGGCACTCTGCCCAATTTTCTCTGGAACACCTCCAGCATTCACCACCTCCCAAGGTCATTGATTCCACTGTCGCACTGCTCTAACAGTTAGGACGTTTTTCCTGATATTCACCCAAAATTTGGCTTCCTGTTAACTTGAGCTCATTGTTGTGTGTCCTGCACTCTGGGATGATTGAGAACAGATCCTTCCCCTCCTCTGGATGACAGCCTTTGATGTATTTAAAGAACAGCCATAGGATGTCCCCTCATCAGAGGCAGCAGCCAGATTGCTGTCACCCCAGGCTTCTCCGTGAAGGAGTCTCCCAAGGGCTGAGAAGCAGGTCAGGAACCCAGAAGCCTATGTGTTTCAGCCCCTCTCGGCCTGTTTCCTCATTGATCTCCCTCGTACTCCCCCCCTCCCCGCCTCAAACCCCTGAAATGCAGTGTTTTTGGAGGGGGAAGGTGGTTTGGAAATCTTCCCTTTCAGAATCCTGAAGGAAAGCTGCCGAGAGCTACCTTGCCTCTTGCCCCTGAAAGCTGCCAAGAGCTACCTTGCCTCTTGCCCCATCGTCATCATCAGAAGTAGCATAACACAACATGAGAGATTTGAGCCGAGAAGGAGTGGATGGAGGGGAAGAAGTGGAGTGGGTGGGATGCCAAGGCATGCAATCCCCCGTGGGTGGATGGGAATTTACTCGGGCATGTTTTCCCTCGGCACGTTGTCGGATCTCCCTCTGCGAGGGGTACTCCCGCAGAAGCCCCAACTCCAGACGGAGTCCTTGGGAACAAAATCCATGCAGCACACACCGCTTCTCTCTCTTCCCCCCCTGTACTTGGAGGTGTGGGCGAAGGCGCCCCAGGGACCACAAGGAGGGTCCCTCTGCTGCCCTACGCCGCCTCTGGAGCTGGAGGCAGAGAAACAGAGAGAGGCCCTCTGCGAGGGGTACTCCCGCAGAAGCCCCAACTCCAGACGGAGTCCTTGGGAACAAAATCCATGCAGCACACACCGCTTCTCTCTCTTCCCCCCCTGTACTTGGAGGTGTGGGCGAAGGCGCCCCAGGGACCACAAGGAGGGTCCCTCTGCTGCCCTACGCCGCCTCTGGAGCTGGAGGCAGAGAAACAGAGAGAGGGACCGCGCCGCCGGAGTCCTCGGGGGCAAAATCCATGAGGAGGGTCCCTCTGCTGCCCTACGACGCCTCTGGGGCTGGAGGCAGAGAAACAGAGAGAGGGACCGCGAGGCAAGGCTGGCAGGAGGCTTGACGGGGTTGCCTCGTAGGGGAGGCTTGCATTGGGTTCTCGGCCCACAGGAGCCCAGGCCAAGGGTTGCTGCCGCCGCTGCCGCTGCTGCTCCTTGTCCCCGATGCCAGCGCTACATGTGCCTCTCCGCAAGAACAACACGCCCACCTACGGGGGCGGAGGGGCGGGGTGGAAATCTGTGTCCGCAGCCCAGTCCAGGGAGGCCCAGGGACCACCAATGGGCCGCAGGCCAGGGGTTGGGGAACAGGGGACAAGAGCACGCCAGGCCCTCCTGTCTTCCACGGCATCCTGGAGTTTGGTCAAAGTCGTGCTGGTCACTTCGATGACACTGTCCAACCATCTCATCCTCGGTCATCCCCTTCTCCTGCCTTCACACTTTCCCAACATCAAGGTCTTTTCCAAGGAGTCTTCTCTTCTCATGAGATGGCCAAAGTATTGGAGCCTCGGCTTCAGGATCTGTCCTTCCGGTGAGCACTCAGGGGTTGATTTCCTTCAGAATATAATAGG